GGAACTTCTGAATTTTGCGCATGCCTCTCCGCTTCCTGACACATCCGCTTTTGGCGCCAAATACAAACCCGTGGCACGCCGTGTGAAGCCAGTCTCCGCCATCCTCCCGGAACAATTTCGCATCGTCCGGCGACACGCTCTCGACATCTTGGCAACTATGCAACCTCTGCCGACCCACCCGCCTCCTTTCGAACCTGGCGAGCGCTACACCCAGGAGCGATACGAAGCCCAGCAGCTCAACTCCGACGGTTTCCTCTGGCCAGAGGAAGAGCGTCTCGCACACTGGGTCCTGCGCGTGAACGAAGAAGCCGTGGCTTGGGACGAATCGGAGAAAGGGCGGTTCTCTGCGGACTACTTTGACCCGATCCTGATCCCAACCGTCGAGCACATCCCATGGGTTTTCAAGAACATCCCTATCGCCCCCGGCATTCGGCAGCAAGTCGTTGACATTCTCAAATCCAAGATTGCGTCTGGGACTTACGAGCCGTCGAACTCGTCTTACCGCTCTCGCTGGTTCTGCGTGCCGAAAAAGGATGGCAAGACACTCCGTCTCGTCCACGACCTCCAGCCGCTCAACAAGGTTTCGATCCGCGATGCCGCCGTACCTGCCAACATGGACCAGATGGCCGAGGACTTTGCTGGTCGCGCTTGCTATGGGCTTCTCGACCTATTTGTCGCTTTTGATCAACGCACTCTGGACTCGCGTTCCCGTGATCTTACAACTTTCCAGTCACCGCTCGGAACCCTTCGACTCACCGTTATCCCTATGGGTTACACCAATGCCGCGCAGATCATGAACGGCGACGTGACCCACATACTTCAAGATGAAATCCCTGCCTTCACCACTCCGTACATTGACGACGTCCCAGTTAAAGGTCCCAAATCACGCTACGAAAAAGCCGATGGCACCTACGAGACCCTTGGCGACAACCCGAACATTCGCCGCTTCGTCTACGAACACTTGGCAACAATGCATCGGATCTTGCATCGCATGAAGATCTACGGCGGAACGTTCTCCGGCCCGAAGGCTGTCCTCTGCGCTCCTCAAATCGAACTCGTCGGCCATCACTGCTCGTACGAGGGCCGTATTCCGGATCGCACACGCATCAAGGCTATTCTGGATTGGCCCGCTCCTTCCTCTGTTACAGATGTGCGCTCATTTCTCGGGGTCTGCGGCGTTATGCGCGTCTTCATCAGGAACTTTGCGCGGATCGCCCGACCTCTCGTGGCGCTTACACTCAAGGACGCAGACTGGAACTGGTCCGACACTCAGCAGGCCGCTTTTGACACCCTCAAGCAGGCCTTCGCGGACTCGAAGGCGCTCCGGCCTATTGATTACGAATCTGGGCGTGAAGTATTCCTCTCGGTCGACTCATCGTACATTGCTGTTGGCTTTGTTCTCTCTCAGACGGGCGCAGATCAACGGCGTTACCCCTCCCGATTCAGCTCGATCCCCTGGAATGACCGCGAGTTGCGCTACAGTCAGCCCAAAATCGAACTTTACGGACTCTTCCGCGCACTTCAAGCTGTCAAACTCTATATCGTCGGCGTGCAGAACCTTACTGTTGAGGTCGACGCATCGTGCATCAAGGGAATGCTCAACAACCCTGACCTGCAGCCCAGTGCCTCCATCAACCGCTGGATTGCTGGCATCAAACTCTTCGACTTCAAGCTCACACATGTACCTGCTACTCGCCACACCGGTCCTGACGGTCTCTCTCGGCGGACTCCGGCGGAGTCCGATGATAAGGATCGTGGGGAGGAGGCTGACGCCTGGATCGACACGGCCTACGCGTTCTCGGCCTCGACAGCTACTTCGCCTGACTCCGACACTGCTGACGAACCACCACCTCAGATCCCGCGCTCCGATAAAGCTACCGCCGCAGATGCCCGCCTCGAACTCGTCGACAGCTATCTACGCGAGCCTATGGCTCAGCTCGATCTCCCGGAAGACTCGATCCGCGGCTTCATACGATATGCTTCAGACTTCTTCATTCGAGACAACTTGCTCTGGCGACGCAACCCTAACGGCAATCATCAACGCGTCATCTCAACAACGCAGCGCTATCGCCTTTTGCAGCAGGCTCATGACGAGCTCGGACACAAGGGACGACTTCCAGTCCGGCGGCACCTGCTCGAGCGATTCTGGTGGCCATACCTCGAGTCCGACGTTGCGTGGTTCAACGACACCTGCGATGAATGCCAGAAGCGGCGCATGCACCACCTCCACCCTCCACCCACGGTCGCCTTTCCTGCGCCTCTCTTCAGGAAGTTTTACTGTGACACAATGCGCATGCCCACCGCTAACCGCCTCAAGTATCTCGTCCAGGGTCGTTGCTCTCTCTCTGCATACCCTGAATGGCGCGCTCTACCTCGCGAGACTGCACCAGCTATCGGCCAGTGGCTGTTTGAAGATGTTCTCTGCCGCTGGGGCGCAGTCGAAGAGATCGTCACGGACAACGGGCCAGCCTTCATTGCTGCCGTTGCGTGGTTGCGTGAGAAGTACGGTGTACACAACATCCGAATCTCCCCCTACAACTCGCGCGCCAACGGACTGGTCGAGCGCCGTCATCGCGACGTCCGCGAAGCAATCGTCAAATCATCCTGCGGCGACATGGCCCATTGGTACAAATACGCACCTCACGTCTTCTGGGCTGAACGCGTGACTACACAGCGAGCTACGGGGCACTCGCCCTACTTCTTGGCGCACGGCGTCGAACCCCTCCTCCCCTTCGACCTCGAAGAAGCTACTTATCTCGTTCACCCGCCGCTCGATAAGGTCTCCACCTCCGACTTGCTCGCCGCCCGTGCCCGTGCCCTTCAGAAGCGAGAATCTGACCTCGAAGACATGCGAGATCGAGTCTTTGCCGCGCGCAAAAAGTCTGCCGAGCGCCACTTCCTCAATCACCCTCAGCAGTACTCAAACATGACATTCTCCCCTGGTGATCTCGTGCTTGTACGGAACACACAGAACGAACGGGACCTTGGCGGCAAGCACAAGCCTCGATACTTTGGACCCATGGTGGTCGTGCGACGAAACTCCGGCGGCGCCTATGCTCTCGCTGAACTTGACGGCTCGCTATCTAAGCTTCGCTTCGCCGCCTTCCGCCTTATTCCCTATCGCGCACGGTCTCGCATCTCTGTCGACATCACCCACCTTCTCGAGCTCTCACCTGACGAAATCGACTCCGCAACCCGTGAAGACGACAGCGCACCTCTCGAATTCCCGCCCGAAGAAGAGCCCGAAGACGAATAGATGCCGCGCACCCAGACTCTCCCCATACCGTTCTCCCTTCCGACAACCTACCTTATTCACTGCTATCTAACATGACGTCTCTTAACACTTTGGCTTAATTCCTGCGGGCGATAATTGCGGCTCCCTCGACCTGGTCGAGTTACCATCAGCGCTGCGCGCCCACCAGCGCTGGTCCGGAGCATCTTCTTTCGCCTTCAAACCCTCCGTATCGACTCTATCGGTTTCCCTCAGTCCTTATCTCTACCATCCTCACCTCATCTCTATCCACTATTTTCCGGCGTCTCGTCGCAACAATCTCTCGGTTCTCAGGGCTTCCTACCCTTTCGCACCTCGTCGTTCACCTCCCACCTCTCGGCGTTTCACTCTCCCGCATCGCCCATTTCGCATAGTGACCAGGAGGTCACTACATCAACTTGGGGGGAGATGTAGCGCACGCCCACGGACAACGCGCGGACAGCCACACTTGACGCATGGCTCTTACCTCGTCCACACCCGCTCGCCCTCCGCTTCGTACAAAGCACCCCTCGACAACGGCCACCAAAGACCAAGCCATGGCCACGGACTCACGTACGACAATGCACCCAGCGGACGAGGAGGTCAAGGCCACGATGGAGCGAGAGGGGAGCGTTGTATGCAACGCTGGCCACGACAGTCGCGATGAGTATAAATACAGTCCCTCCATGTACTAAGTAGCAGCAACCTAGTTTCCTCGAGCCCTCTCAGCATCATTGCGAACCCGAAGCCATAAGTCTACATCCCCCCATTGTGTCTA